ACAAACTACCATAACTCACCAAATATGAAATAGATAATTTTAACAGCCTTATAACTATTAGAAAATTGAGCTAACAATTTTTAAATCTCTATAAAGGAAATATCCAGGTCCAGACAGTTTTACTGGAGAATTCTACCAAATGTTTAAAGAAGAATGAACAGCAGTACTACACAATCTCTTCCAGAAAATGGAAGAGGAGGGAACACTTACTAATTAATTGTATGAAGCTAATATTACCTGGATGTCACCAAAGACAGTACCAAAAAAAGAGAAAACTACAGACCAATATCCCTCATGAATATAGATGCAAAAATCCTCAACAAAATACCAGAAAACCAAACCCAGTAATAGGTAAAAAGAATTATATGCCATGACCAATTGGAGTTTATTCCAGGCATAAAAGGCTGGTTCAATATTTAAAAAAATCAACCAAGGTATTCTACCCTATTCATAGGCTAAAGAAGAACAATCCCATAAACATATTAGTTGATGTGGAAAGAGCACTTGACAAAAGTCAATACTCATTCATGATAAAAACGCTCTGAAAAATAGGAATAGAGGGGGAATTCCTCAATTTGGTAAAGAGTACCCATAAGAATCCTAGAGCTTATATTATACTTAATGGTGAAAGACTGCCAATCTGTCTTTTAATTTGTATATTTATACTATTTACATTTAATGTAATTATTGATATGTTAGTGCCTAATTCTGCCCTTATATTTTTTTGTTTTCTGATTGTTCTCTGTTTTTCATTTCTGTTTTCTCTGCGTTTCTGTGAATTACTTGAGCATTTTTAGAATTCTGATTTTATTTTTTATGGTGTTTTGAGTATATTTCCTTGTATAGCTTTGGTTTTTTTTAGTGGTTTCTTTAAGTATTTCATTATATATGCATAATTTACCACAGTCTACTGATGTCATCATTTTACCAGTTCAAGTGTAGAAATCTTACCTCATTTTGCATCCCTTTATCCTCCCCCATTTATAATATCATTGTCTTAAATATTTCCTTTACATATCATCAGTGTTATAATTTTTGCTTCAATGGTCAAACATAATTTAGAAAATTCAATAGAAGGAAAGTCGATTGTATTTACCTATATGTTTGCTTACCATGTTCTTTCTTTCTTTCTGATGCTCCAAATTTCCTTCTTTTATAAATTCCTTTATATTTTGAGAATTCCCTTTAGCCGTTCTTTTAGAGTAGGTCTGCTAGTGACACATTCTCTTAGTTTTCTTCATCTGAGAATGTCTTGATTTCCCCTTCATTTCCGAAAGATAGTTTCACTGGATACTCTGGGTTGACAGTTCTTGTCTTCCAGCACTTGAAAAATGTTATGCCACTTCTTTTTTGCCCTTATAGTTTCTGATGAGAAATCGACTGCATTTGAATTGGTTTTCCCCTATAGGTAAGGTGTCATTTCTCTTTTATGACTTTCATGAGTTTTGTCTCCAGTGTTTAGAAATTTGACTGTGATGTCTCTTGGCATGGATATTTTTGGGTTTATTCTATTGGAATTCATTCAACTTCTTGAGTCTGTAGGTTTACATCTTTTTCCAAATTTGGGGGAGTTTTTGCCTTTTTTTTTTAAAGATTTTTATTGGGGAATTGGGGGGATGGGAACAGTGCTGGGGAATTGGGGAAGGGGAACAGACAAGTTGCTGTCGTTTTGTTCTTCAGTCTAGTTGTGGAGGACGTTGCTTCACTGGCCCAAGTTGGCACCATCATTGCGCTCTTCCCGGGCGAGGCAGATCAGTCGCTGGCTTCTGGACGGCCACTCACAGCGGCTGCTGGCCGCTCACGCTGGCTGCTGGCTACGCACGGTAGCCCGTGGCAACCCACTGCAGCAGAGGCTGCAGCCTACGCTGTCGCTGGCGACTCACTGCAGCCCAGCTCCAGGTTGAGCTGTTGTTCAGCATCTTAGCTGTAGAGGGCAGTGTCACTGGCCCTCATATGTGGGATCCGAACAGGGGCCCTCTGGCGTGCCAAGCCAGTTCCTAACCATTGGGCCACTTGGCCAGCCCAGTTTTTGTTTTTTTGAGTACCTTTTCAGTCATACTTTCTTTCTTGTCTCCTTCTGGGACTCCAATGACAAAAATGTTAGAAATCTTTTGTTATAGTCCTGCCGTCTATTTTCAGTGTTTTTTTCTCTTGTTCAGCTTGAGTCATTTCTACTGTTCTATCTTGCAGTTCAATGATTCTTTTCTCTTTTCTCTCTATTCTGCTTTTGAGCCCATAATTTGAGGTCTTTAGTTCTGTTATAGTATTTTTGAATTCTAAGACTTCCATTGGTTCTTCTCTATATTTCTTTGCTAAGACTGTCTGTATCTTTACTGAGACCTTCTGTTTTCCATTTGTTTCAAGTGTGTTCCTCATTGTTGTGACATTTTTGTGATGGTTACTTTAAAATCTTTGTAAAAAAAAATCTAACATTTTTGTCATCTCAGTGTTTGCATCTATTTGTTGTCCTTTTTTCATTTCGTTTAGGATCCTCCTAGTTCTTGGTATGATGAGTGATTGTTTTATTGAAACTTGGACATTTTGGGTATTGTTATAAGACCCTTGATTTTATTTAAACCACCTGGTTTAGCTGGCTTCCTCTGACACGCCTCTAGCAGAGGAAAGGGGAGCACACTTCTTTGTAAGTGCAAGGTGTAGTGGCCACTTGGCCTCTCTCTTCATTACTACTGGATAGAGGTGAAGGTAACAGCTCTCCACTAGGCCTCCTTTGATGGCTTCCTGCCTGTGAGGGCGTAGGAGTGCTGTGTTACTGTTACCCACATAGCTTCCATTGACACTATGGGGGGATGAAATTTCTATTAGGCCTCCTCCAACACCACCCCAATGTGGAGGGGAAGTGTTGCCTCATCATTGCTGGGTGGGGGTGGGGAGCTTGTTACCACTGGCAAGTACGAATGTCCAAGCTTCCTACTTGGTCTTCTCTGGCATCATCCTGCAGGGGGTTGGGATGCTTCATTACAGCCCGGTAAGAGTATAAGTCTAGGCTTAGCACTCAGCCTTGCTGGCATGGGTAGAAGTGGGGCCACAGGTTTTTCTGTGGTATTTGGCTGGAGTAGAGTGGTTAAGTTGTCTTGCTAGGCTGCCCCTTTCCTAGTCCTTTGACTAGAGAGAACAGGCCTTCATTAAGATTTTTTTTTCTTTTGGTTTGCACTTGTTGGCATTTCTGGGTTGCTGGCTTCTTCAGCTCCAGGTCTGATATATACGAGGGGAGACAAAAAGAAACCTCAGGGAACTTATCACCATGCCACTCCTTGGGTTCCAAGGTCCCTATCTTGTCTGCCTTCTTCTCTCCACCTTTCAGTTTTCTCATGTTTGCTTCGTGTACGATGCCCAGGGTTTTTAGCTGTACTTAAGGGAAGGATAGGGAAAGGTATGTCTACTCTACCTTCCTTTGATAGAAACCTCTTTTTGATCACTTTTATACCAATCAGTTTGCTGGACCTTTGGAACAGGCACTGTGTAGGCACTACAGGGTGGGCGTAGTATACAAATTATGGCTCCTGTTAGCCAGCATCTCACCCTTTACGGGGACATACAGCCATGACTCATATGGTCTGGCACATCACTAAGAGCACAGCTTAGAATCAGGGAGAACTGAGTCCCAATTCCAGCTCTGCCACTTCCAAGCTCTGTGGCCCTGGGTAAGTGAATTAACCTCTCTGAATCTCAGTCTCCTCACTTGTAAAATAGGGGGAAGAATAGTACCAATCTCATAGGCTGTTGGTGGATGACATTAAATGGAACAGTGCATGTAAATAACTTTGCATGGTGTCAGCACATAGCAAGTGCTTAGTAAATGTTTGTTATTGTTATTGTTGTTGTTGTTATAAGGAAGGCTGGGTCAAATATAATAATTCTCCCTTTGCCTTGTTTTCTCTAGACAGAGGTCTTTTGGCTTACTCTGTGCCCACTGCCTCTCTTCTCCTTATCTACCGTGGGAACATTTTCAACCTCAAGTGGGTCTCTTTGAAGGGGTTGAGATGGATATTGGATAGGATGAGGGGGGAACAGAATGTTTACTTTTTGTTTTCATTCATTCATGCCTTTACTTATTCACGAATTCCTTCAGCAAATATTTATTGAACAATACCCTGTGCTTGGAACCCTGTGGGGAATTTACAATCTAGCAGGATAGGTATCTAAGTCATGATAATATTCAGGGCAGGCTCTAATTGCCAAGAAGGATACAAGCAGAATATCCTGAGAGTTCAGGAAGAGAGAAATCACATTTGGATAGAAAATGTGAGGGTTTTGAGGAGGAAGGAACAATTGTAAGAAGAAAACAACCCAATTTTATTTTTTTTAAAGATTTTTATTGGGGAATTGGGGGAGGGGAACAGCGTTGGGGAATCTGGAAAGGGGAACAGACAAGTTGCTGTCCTTTTGTTCTTCAGTCTAGTTGTGGAGAACATCGCTTCACTGGCCCATGTTGGTATTGTGATCATTGCGTTCTTCCCGGTGAGAGGCAGTCACTCGCTGGCCATTGGACAGCCACACATGGTAGCTCACGGCAGCCCACTGCGGACCCACTGCAGCCTACGCTGTAGCCGGCGACTCACGGCAGCCCAGCTCCAGGTCGAGCTGTTGTTCATTATCTTAGCTGTAGAGGCCGCAGCATCACTGGCCCTTATGTGGGATCCGAACTGGGGCCCTGCTGCTCAGAGCTGGCGTTCCAAGCCAACTCTTAACCAACGCGCCTCTTGGCCTGCCCAACAACCCAATTTTTAAAATAAGCAAAAGATTTAAACTAACACTTAACCCAAGAAGATATACACATGGCAAATAAGCACCTGAAAAGCTGCTCAACATCATTGGTTATTAAGGAAATACAAATTAAAACCACTGAGACACCACCACATACCCACTGGAATGGCTAAGATGAAAAAGACCGATCAGACCAGATATTGGCAAACATGTGGAGCAACTGGAATTCTCACACACTGCTGGTAGCTGTGTAAAATGATACAACCAATTTGAAAAACAGTCTGGCAGTTCCTTAAAAAGTTAAAGATACACTTACCACATGACCCAGACGTTCCACTTTCAAGATAAGTTAAAGCACACAGGTTTTTACACAAATCCTCTTGGGAGCCCCAACTTGGAAACTCAAATGTCCATCCACCAGTAAATGGAGAAACAAAATGAGTGAACTATTGATAATATGCCCCAACATGGATGCATCGCAAAATAACTATGCTGAGTGAAAAAGCCAAAAACAATAAAGGGTACATATTTTATTATTCCATTTACATAAAATTCTAGAAAATGCAAAGTAACCTGTAGTGACACAAACAGGTTAAAAGAGGCCTGGGGATGGGGGTGGAGGTTGAGGGAAGGATAAGAGAGATTATAAAGGGTAACAAGGAGACTTTTGGGGGTATGGATATATTCATCACCTTGATTGTGGTGCTGGTTTCATGAATGTATTCAATTGTCAAAACTTATCGAATTGTTTACTTTAAATATGTGCAGTTTATTGTATGTAATTATACTTTGTATAATGCTGTTAAAAAAAAAGTACCTTGTTTAATACTGTAAAAACATATTCTTTGGCCCCACCCCAGGCCTACTGAATAAGAAGCTGTGGGAGTGCAACCCAGCAATCTGTGTTTTAACAAACGCTCCAGGTGAGCCTGATGCACAGCAAAATCTGAGACCAGCGATTTAAAGTGATAACGCTTGCAGCTGGTGGTTGAAATAAGGCTCTGGGCTGGAGAAGAGATTTGAGAGTCACCTGCTTGGAGGTCAAAGCTGAAGTTGTAGGATGAGGAGATTTCGAGAGTAAAGAACAGGAAGCAAGAGGTGGGGACATACCCTCAGGAGACAGGAGGAAAAGGAGGAGCAGGTGACAGAAGCAAGGAATAAGTGGCCTGAGGTTAGGGGAAGGAACATAACAGATGCCAAGGAAGGGATTTTGAGATACGGGTGATCAATAATGATGAGACCAAGGTGGTACCTTGTATTAGCATAAGTGCTGTCCAGTTTCCAAATGGTTTTCACGTACATTAGCGCATTCACCGTGCCAGGGGTGGGCAGACAGGCAGCAATAATGTTCTACCCTGTAGGCAGCACAGTCTACAGGACAGAGCCCGGAATTTAGAGTCAGGCAGACCTGGGTGCTGTCTAGCTCCTTCATTTACTCGTGCGTACATTTGGGCAAGTTTCTTGAACTGAGTCTCCATTTCCCTATTTGCAAAAGGGGGATAATTCTACCCACTAACAGCGTAGAGTATTTGTGGTGTGTAAAATACCTGCACGAGATGACTCACACAATTGTTGGTTTCCTGGCACTCTTCACCTCCACCTCATAGCCCTCAATTTACAGATAAGGAAATTGAGGCCTGGGAGGGTGGGGTGGTAAGTGATGGACCCCAGGTCACAGGACTGGCAAATGCTCCATTTGGAAGCACATCCTTCTTGACTTGGAACCCACGGACCACTGAGCAGGCCTGTAGGTGGGCCGCAGGGTCTGTGAAATGCCTGAAATCATATGCAGGCTGGATGTGAGCGCGATGCCTGTTGGTCTGGAGCACATGTTCATTGCTTCAAGGCAGGTCCAAGGGTCGGGGATCTTTAAGGTTAAGAACTTCTGCTCAAAGGTCAGTTGAATTTATTTTTCCCTGAGTGTCCGGAGTCACACCTCCCCATACCCTCAATCATCCCCCTTCCCATCACACCTCTTTCTGAAGAGTTTCACTAATTGTCTGCCAACTGACCAGTCTGCAAACCAGGAAGCTTTCTTCATGGTCTCACCGTGGGTCACTCATTCACTCCAGGAGCAGAGCCGATCACCTGCCGGTCCAGTTGGCACTATCTCTGGTACAGTGAAGGGCCCACACTTGAATGAGGATCCCACCTTGATGGAGCGTACGGCAGAGACAGCTACGACAGATACAGGCAGTCTGTGATGGGAAAGATGAGAGAAGGGGCACAAGCAAAAGGTTGTCTGGGGAGACTGCATTGGGACTGGCCCAGCATTGACCCTGGGGAGTCTCTAACCACGTCTGTCCATTCAGAGACGTACAACCCTCAGTTTCCTTTTTATTGTTCAGACCATCACAACTTGTCTCCCACCCGCCACTTTAATGAAATGCTCTCCGCAGATCAACCACCAGGAACCCCTTGCCCTCTGCAACAGACTCTGTCACTTTTCCGTCTGTCGCCCTCTCTGTGGCACTGAGCTGTGTCGGCTGGGACCTTTGGGTCTCCTTCCCCCCGGCCTTTCAAGACAGCAGCATCTCCTTGTTGCCTCCTGCTTCTCTGGGGTCTCTTCTGCCTCCCTCCGAAGCCCCCTTTCATGGTGGTGTTCACCCCAGTTCCATCCGCAGCCCATGACTCTTCCCTTTCCACACACTCACCCTGGGGACCTCATCCAGACCCACGGCTCCTCGGACCGCCATCACACAAATGGTCCCCACAGGTTTTTTCCACATCCAGCCTTTCTCAGAGCTCAACTCTGAACAACTGACCAGTATCTCCAGCCAGATTCCTCAAGAATCTCAATTTCAATTCACCCCAAAAAATGAACTTACCACCTCTCCCTGTTCTGAGTCCGTTTGTGAGTTCCCAGCATTAGTCACCCAAACCAGAAACCTGGGAGTCATCCTGGATGACGTCTTTCTCATCACCTCATTCATCTAAGCATCACTAAGTCCTGTGAATTTTCCCTCTTAAAAGCTTTTGAACTGGCCCCTTCCTTTCCACCCCGGCTGCTGCTGTCCTAGTTGTGCTCTTAGCGTATCTTTCTTGAATACCTGCAGCGGCCGTCTCCCTGCGCCTTCCACTGGTGTCCCCTCGCCCCAGTCCGGCCGGCAATAGCCAATAATAATAACTAATCTTCCCCAAGGACTGCCACATGCCACCTTTATCCATATCTCTTGCTTCATTCTGACAACAACTCTAAGAGGCAGGCACGATTATTATCCCCACTTCACAGATGAGAGAACTGAGGCACAGAGAGGTTAAGTCACTTGTCAATAACACAGCTAGTCAGTGGCAGTGCCAAGACGACTCTGAAATGCAAATTTTAATTATGTCACACATTGTTCTAAAATTCTTAAGGGCTCCCCACTCCAATAATAATAATAATAATAATAATAATAATAATAATAATAATAATAATAACAACCCTCAAATTCTTTAACAGGGCAGCGAGACCTTCAGATCTGAGCCCTGCCTACCTCTCCTGTGTCAACTTTGCTTCTGGGTTTTAGCACAAGCTCCTCTTTCCCCTGGAAACTCTCCTCTTCCCTACACTCCACACTCCTGACTTGTTTTATTTGCCTTCCTAACCCCTACTCATTCTTTTAAAAGCTCAGGTATTGTCTCATACATCAAGGCTTCCTTGAGTGCCCCACCCTCCCCAGCTTGGGCCGGTGCCTGTGGTGGACACTGTAATATGCCACCCAGATCCTCAAGGCACAGGTTTGGAATCAAGTGCATCCGAGGTCAACTCCTGAATCTCCCCTGCATTGGCTGTGAGGCCTTAGGCGAGTCACTTCAGCTACCTAAAGCCTCATTTCCTCGTCTGTGGAACAAATGTGGTGACAGTATCTTCTCACAAGGTTTTTGGGGTTTTTTTGAGACACCACATGTACGACTCTCAGCCCCCCCGGGGGCTGCCCAGCACCTGATAGTTCTCTTCCTCTAAACTGGAGAACCCTGAATCCCCAGAGCCAGAAGCATAATAGAATAATAACTCTTTTATAGCACTGGCTATACATCAGGGACTGTTCTAAGTACCCTACTTATACTGAATCAATCCTCTCAACAATTGTGAGAGGTAGGTACTACGATGAACCTCATTTTGCAGATAAGGAAATGGGACACAGAGAAGTTAAGTCATTTGTCTGAGGTCACATAGCTAGGAAGAGGTAGAGCCAGAATTAGAACCCAGGCAGTTTGGCTTCAGATCTATGCCCTGGGTGGGGGGTGGGGGTGGGGTGAGAAGAGTACACTCTGCACATAGTAGGCTCTCAAGGAAGCTTGTTGAAGAGCTCTGACCAGGGTGGGGGAGAGAGAACAAGACACAGCCGTAGTACTTCTTGGCGTTGGTGTGAGCACTTGTTGTTTGTAGGTTAGTGTGCATGTATGTGAGGGTGTATTTGGTGCCTGTGGGTCTGTGCTGGAGCCTCTTACAGGGCAATCAGGGAAGGCTTCCTAGAAGAGGAGACATCTGAGTGTGGCTTGTAGAGATGTGGAATGTGGTTGGTGGAGAAGCAGGAAGCCGCAGGCCTGTCCAGGAAGGTGGCCAGTCCTGAAGGGCTTGTGGGGGCGGAAGTGGGGGAGATGGAGCGATAAGTTGGGGGCTATTGTGGTGAGCTCCGAATACCACACTGAATGACCTTCGTCAATGGAGTGATGGCTCAGAGAAATGCCTTAGAAAGAATAATCAGGCAGCGGGAGAGGAGGGTAAAGATGAGGAGGAGGGGCAGAATACTTTGGGGGCACCCACTGCCGCCTCCTTGTGAAGTCCCCCACCCCCTTGGTCCTCTGACAGACCCGTTATCCTGGGGGAAAAGAGAGAGGGACCGCCACAGAGTCCTTAGTCCCCTGGGTCTTCTGTTTTTGGAAAGTGCCAGCTACACTTGCTGCTGCCTAGGTGGGACCTGGAGACTGTGAATGCAGGTGAGAGTGGGGTGGAGAGAGGGCACAGCTACGGAAGAAAGAGAGCCCAGATGCATGGCATGTAGGGGCTACTTTATGATTATTTCTTGATCCATTAACTAAGGGAAAGACAGGCACCCCCACAGGGAGAGACACATAAAGGGAGGAAGAAAGAGAGAAGGTGCCTCCAGGAGAGGGACTTGCCTTAGCTGCCATTTGTCTCCCACAGCACGAGGCGGTAGCTCAGACACCACGGCAGGTCAAGAATTATTTGTTGAATTGAGCAACTCAGAGGAGACTCAGAAAGTGGCCAGTAACTGAGATGGATACAAAAGATGGAGAGAACTGAGGTTTGGGATTTAGGAGCTTGGCGGACCTTCCTTCTTCACTTGCTGCTATCGATATTTGCCACCATTTCCCTGCCTCTTAACAAAAAAGCAAGTCTTGAGTCTGCTCCCTTCCCGTGAGCCTGGAAAGTAAACAGATTTCAGAGGAAGACGTCCAAGGCCTAACTCCAGGTGCCTGGAGTCTCTGGCAGGAAGTGTGTGGGGAGGGGTGACCAGGAAAAGAACCCTAGGCCAGGACATAGTTGCTGGGTTTTGGAGAAAGGCTGCCTGGGGTTGCCGAGGGTAAGGGTGGGGTGAGAGGAGCTTCTCTGCCTTCCCATGGTTCCCATGCTCCTTTGCGGTCCCAAACCCAGGCGCTGCTCAGAGGCAGCCGCTGCCACACAATAACATGCCTTATTAGGGAGGCAGAGGGTCAGTTATGGGTATGGGGACTCAAAGACAAGCAGGTGAGGGCAGGGAGAAGGCAGGGAGGGAGGTCATGAGAGAAGAAAGGAAAAGAGAGAGAAAGAGACAGAGAGAGGAAGAGAGGGAGGAGGTAGGATAGAGTGTGTGGGAAGAGAGAGAGAGAGAGGGAGGGAGGGAGGGAAGGAGGGAGGAACAGAGAGAATTTTTCTCAAACAAGAAAATTACATAGTTAATAGCAACAAGTATCTAATACACCTATTAAACATGAATACCGGGCTTACTGAGTCTGCTGTCTTTCCACCCGTTTGCTCTCAGTATCTCTATCTATACATTATGTACACATTTTCTTCTGCTTTTTAATCTAACTAGCCAGATATCCACATGTCCTAGGTTTGACTACCTGTCTGTCTTCGTCTACCTGCCCATTTATTTGTTTTTCTATGTTTTTGATCTATCTAACCATGTGGCTGAACGTCCATTTGTCCGTCCATCCATAATATACCTGCCTTCCTGATGGCGAGCTGTTCATCCATACTCATTCATATTCTCTCTCTTTCGTCCATTTGTCTATTTGCTGATCATTCTGTTTTTCTGTTCATTTGTCTGCTGTTGGTATACACATGAACATACTGTCTATTTGCCTCTCTGATGGTCTGTCAGCCTGCTTGCCAAATTGTCTGTCTGTCCATTTACATTTATCTATCTGTACAACTTTTTGTCCATTTCCTATTTTTCTTCCTTCCCTCCCTTCCTTCCTTCATTCCTTCCTCCCTCCCTTACTTCCTTTCTTCCATCATCCATCTACAGCTATTCGTTTGATAAGTAAATATTCATTGATAACTTACTGTGTGCTCAGCTCTGTGCAAGTCTGGGGATATCAAAGGTGGGTAAGACGTGATTCCTACCCTCAAGGGACTTGTGACCTGGAGCTTGAAGAGCGATAAGGAAACCAATTTTCACCACACAGTGGGTGAGGGCTGAAACAGTGTTGTGTAGAGGTGGCCATGGGAACACTGAGAAAGAGAATCCAAATCAGACTGGGGTCAAAGATGCTTTTCTGGAGAAAGTGTCAGTGGCCTGTTTTCTGCATATGTCTCCATCTGCCAGTCCTGCCTTTTATCTCACCATGCTCCAATCCATATTTCCATTTGTCTAACCCACCTCTGGCCATCTATCTGCTTACTTAGTATCCATCTACAAACCATCTGCCCATCTCTGTCAGTTGAAGAATCTGCTTATTATCTAACTGTTGGTCTATTGGTCATCTATCTGTATGTCTTTCTGTCTATTGGTTGGTCTCACCACTCCTGTATCTCCCCAATTTTCCATTGTTTGTCTACCAATTTGTAGGTTGATTTGTGTACCAATGAGAATACTTTTGGCTGCAAGTAACAGATGGCCCTACCAAAAGGGGCTAAGCTGCTAAGAAAAATATTATCTCACATAACAAGAAGTTTGGGGATAGAAAGATTCCCAAATTGGTTAATGTGGCCCAGTGGCATCATTCAACACTCAGGTTCTTTTCACGTCCTTCCTCTGCCATA